CTTGCGAGATGTCGTTAAAACTCGGACTTTTCCGGCAAATTTCGGCATTTGTACTAGTAAAATGTTGAAAATCACAGAAAAACACAATGAAACTTTGGCGAATCAAAAAAATACTTGGCGTGCATATGTATGGCATTGAGATATACATTTGCACCAATTTGGAAAAAAATTGGACAGAGCATATCAAAGTTATAGGAGGCAAAAGACGGACGAACGGACGGAAGGACGGACAGAACCCAATCTATAAGCCTTCGGCAGACTTCGTCTGCGAAGGCTAATGAAGAAAGGATGGACTAATGGAGGACAGACAGAAAGACTGATGAGCAAATGAATGAACTAAAGAAAATAGCTGTTGTCATTGCAAATGGTCCTGGTTGTTTTGTTATTTATTACAGGGTATACAGTACATTTGACAGGATAACACTCATCAAGAAAAGCAATGTATTTGCTCTATTGAATTAAATTGGATTTAATTTTTACCGATATGAATTAAAAAATTACATTGACAGTACTGTAAAATACTTTATTTTCGCTTGGAATTCATTTTCGCTGAAGGAATGATTCAGTAAAAATAAAAACCAGTGAATATACCTTTTTTCCTTTATTTTACATTCAGCTAAAATAAAGTATTTTACAGTATGCTCATTAAAATATATATTTTTGTAACCATAGACATATTTTGCCATTTACTTAATTGCATACACTACATAAATACAGCAAGTACAGTCTCCATCATTTTTTGGGTGCCATAATGAATACATGAAACACTACTATACCTGCAACAAATATTCTCAAGTACTCTGTGGCAAGTTCTAAAGCATCACTGTTTACTAAGAACAAAAATTCAAATGAAAGCATTAGGAACATTGAATTATCCTGTTAGCAGCAAGGAATAAAACCATAAAAATCATTAATATCACTATGCAATGTAAAGTTTTTCTTAACTTCTGTGCTCCAGATGAAACAGTCTCGACATTTGAGCTCAAGTTACAAATAAAATTGTGCAAAAACTGGCTACAGTAAATTATCAGTAAGCACTGGATGTATTGGTGGTGGTGTCTTTTCTAGTCTGCGACTATATTAGGTACACATAGCAATACACAAAACTCGTACATTAAGGCCTAAAAAAAATTACTGTTTCTGGTTGGCCAAAAAAAGTGTGTTCATTAATTTTTTGCAAGGCCTATAGATATCAAAATTTGAAACTTACTTCTTGTCTTCTCATCTTTAAATGCATTTTGCAGGAGTTTTGCAACTGTTTCCTGAAAGACAAATATAAATGCAGAAACATTTTTATTATCTTAGTATTTTAATGCATGCAACTTATTTTTTAGCCCAAATGAAACACTCCTTCTACATGTTTTTTGTAACAAACATGCTCACCTACTTTTGAAGAAAATGCCCTTAAGACCATTTTCAATTTTTCAACCTTTAGGATGCTTCATAAAGTTTAACTTTTGAGATGGGCGAATGATAGAGTGCTAGTATGAAGTTTCGGCTTGCATGAGTATTAGCATAATATCAAATCAAGGAAACTGTTTTATACCTCAGGAAAATTGGATTTTAGGTATTTATTTCCTCCTCATATGCATGGCGCTATTTCATTTTGTAAAACTTAAACAGCCTGCTTAATTCACAAATATTTTTATGAACATTATTACTAAGACTCTGCTTACCAAGCTATTTAGGTTCAGCTTAGCAAAAATAGAATTATCATAGAAGAACTGCAATTTTAAAACAATCCAACAGTTCATGAATTAAACTACCAGTATTATTTTTACCCAAAGCTGTTCTGGCCCAGTGCTC